GATTTACTTATTTTTTTTTGCAAATATATTTTACTCTTTACTTAAAATATTGGAAACAAAAAAAGATGTAAAAAGGACTGATCCAAACCTCATGTGTGTGTGTGTGTGAATAAATTTAGGTTTCCCTTGGCTACGGAGACTAAGTCCATTCGCCAGAATTCAAACCTCATGCAATCTATTTTTAACGATTTAGAGAGGTTGAATCCAAAACTGCTGAGAAGCGTGTCATAATTTCTTATACTTATTGATTTTGATGATTCCTTCTGATCAAAAAACTTCCCTTTTTATTAAAAAAAGCCCACGTTTTAAACAACCTAAAGTAAACTGATACCCTTCAAGATAGTGCAGCTAGCAATTATGAAACAGATTGTATAATTATTGATATACAATTACTGTAAGACTTTTTAAAGTCCACCACTTTGCAAGTCATTAACAAAACTGAAATAAAATCAAAAACGGTTAAGATTAGCTGCTGTGTAACTCCAAGACTATTTAATACATACATCGCCAAAAATGTTAGTTCCCCCATAAAATATCCAAAATATAATTTTCATACTTATATATTTATATTGTCGTTTTGTTAAATCTTAAAACTATGGCCATTTGGGATTTATTAAAAAATATTTCATAAATTACTTATTGTTAAACTAAATAAAATAATATTAGAAAATTCTTAGGGGTATAATATATTTGGCGATTTGTATATTTCTCTAAAATACAAGAAAATGTATTTTAGTAGCAGATGATACACGAAGACGTGTATTGCTTAATTTCATTTATTGAACAGACTACATGTTATTTATTTGTTTGCATTTACCAATTAAACTTTAGATTGTGTCGAAAGTATAAGGACGGTAAAATTAGAGAACAATTAAAAAAAATAATGATGATTTCTTGTATTTACAACTTAAAGTATTTATCTATTGAAATACTAATAAAGAGTAAAAAGCTTAAAATCTACAGTTAAAAGGTGTTCATAATATCAAAGAAATTAAAAAATTAAACAAATTTAGGAAAAATTAATATTTGAACATTGACATAAATTATTTTATTTATACAGGGTGATTGGGACATAGGGTAAGGGCGAAAATATGGCGATAGGAGTAAATATATCTTAATAAAATATTTTTGTGAAGTAAGATACAGGGCGTTAAATAATAATAATAACATCATTATTAATAATAGACTATAATCTCACAGTAAAAATAATTCACTGACAAGAAATGATATGTACCAGAAAAAATTATCTGACACTGCAAAGCACACTTTCTATAAATGAAATTCTTTTAATCCCAACTAAGACTTGTACTACGTAGAAATGGTATTTACATCATATTTTCCAATCAAATATACTAAAAAATTTCGTCAAAAGAAGCTACCACTTAATCTCATCATCAGATATTATTCACGTAACAAAATCTGAAATATGACATAAAATAATATTTCTTGTCCAATTTTAATAACAATTCATAAATATAAAGTTACATTATCAGAAAATAAAACAAAAAAAATCAATTTTAATGTCCTGTATCTTATTCCACAGCAATATTTTATTAAGGTATATTTGGTTCTATCACCATATTTTGGTCTAAATAACCTACCGTTAGCCTATGTACCACTACCTATGAATCACCCTGTATTTGTCATATGTCATAGGCAAAGGCGATTTAAGTTATTTTTCTTTGGCGAAAATAGATATGCAATTTTGGTCTCGTGCAATTAGAATTTATGAGGTTATGGGCTAATTTCTACGAGAACTACAGAGACACAGATAGGACAGGACACCTTCTTTATCTGCACAACCAGAGGATGTCCACAATGAGGAGAAGAACTGTAGACGAACTGTAGACGAACTATGAACATTGATTGAGCTCTGCATACCCTGCCAAATTCAAGTTTGGAAATATCCTTTGTGATTGAGCCCAAAGAGTACTAGAACACACCAAAAGATGGTACCGTTAAGTAAGACTTAGTATAAACCCCACGAAAACAGTATAAGTAGCCTTTTCAAGAAAAAGAAAACTAAATCTCAAAACCGACAAATTAGACGGGATAGATATGACATGGAAAAAAAGAAGTAAAATATCTAGGCCTAAACCTGAATAAAAAATTTCTCTGGAACATTCATGAAAAGAAAGTAGTAAATAAGACCAAAAAAGTGCCTTATTGGTATGCAGAAACATTTCGGGTAAAAGATGGGGATATAAGCCAAACATAATTCGATAAATGTATACAGCAATAGTGAGAACAATCATCACTTACGGTGCTATAGCCTGGAGTAACTAGTTTAGCTACTACGTTAGCTAATATCTCAAAACTTCAAAGACTAGTCTGTAATTGCATCACTGTACAATGAGAACCTGTCCTACGGCAGCAATAGAGTTATCAGAAGAAAGTCTGTTAGCGTCAAGACCGAAGATACTTGTGATAGGGCCCAGGATGAAATGAAAAGAAGTAGTTTTGTGAAAAACTAAAACCACAGAGCTGGGCTGCAAGAAAGAATGGAGCCAAGAATCCATCGTACTTGTAACCGAAAGACAAGCTATTCAATAGTATATGGATGGTTTCAAAACCATAAAAGAAACTGGATTATGAATGTATGGGCCTAGAACCAGACAATCTCTAAGATTGGAGAAAATACCCAAGCATCTTCCAGGCAGAAATTCACGTCATTAAAAAGTGTATCCAGTTTAACATTGAGAGAAACTATGGTAGACAAGAGACTATTATTAAGTCCGAGAGCGAAGTAACCTTTAAAGCGCTGAGCTCTTAAGTAATCCAGCTCAAAAATAGTTAGGAGATGTCTAGAAAAAGTGAATGAGCTAGGCGAGGAAAATACAGTTACTCTTACTTGGGTTTCTGGACATAAAGTGGCAAAGGGTAACGAAATTGTAGAGATTCTCGCAAGGAAAGGAGCTTAAACATCCTTTGTGGGACCTAAGCCGTTCTGCTGTCTCAAGAGTAATATATTGTTGGGAGAGATTAAAAAAGAATTGGATAGTAGAGGAACAATTAAATGGAACGATCTCTTGGTGCCAAAACAGGCCAAAGTATTTCTGAGTAATTATAACCAGGGAAGATTGAAAGCCTGTACCTGCCTGAGCAAGAACAAAGATCCTTACGGGTCATTGCCGACTTAAAATTAAATTAAAAATGATAAAATAGAGTTAGTGCAGATTTTATAGGGAGAAAAAAAAAACCTCCATTCACATTCTGACTGAATTTGTAGCACTCCACAATCCAAAGGCACTATATTTAAGAGCATAGCAAATTGCAGAGGAAGATTTACCTAAACTTGAAGTCCTATTATTTCTTGAGAAGGTAGGACTGGAAGGGTCGTTAAAGGTATCGAGACATTTTATTGCTGCATTAGCGATAGAAGGGGAAACATTCTCTAAGATATCTACCACCATTCGTTTCACCTCATTCCCTCAGACCCAATCCCTGATTCCTTCAGTACGGCTAAAGAGGCTAGAAAAGCATATAACGGCCCGCTCCCAACTGGGAGAATTAAATACATATTCTTTCTTTTTTTATCTGTATGTACTCGTATGTAGGAGTGGTATAAAGCATTTTAAAAACTTGGACAGTTCTGAATATAAATCAGGTTAGGGTTGCCACCTGTCCTGTTTTGCACAAAGTCCTTGCGACTTTTTAAAGCTTTAAATGTCCTTTTTTACAGCATGTGTCCTATTTTACTCTTTGATATCTTTGAAAGGAACCTGGGTTGTAGAAAAATATACAAGATTTTTTTTTTAGTTTAGAAGGATGAGGAGCTTTTGTACACCGGATTCCCTATCAGCATCATAGTCCTTTATTCACTTTTCAAATAGGTGGCAACCCTAGACCAGGTGAAAAAGCAGGCTCGGTCTGAACCTTAGGGTACTTCAGCTTGGGTAGTGAATTAATAGGACAAGTAATGGCTCTCTGTTGGTTAGACAGGAGATAATAGGTTCATGATAATATAGAAATGACCAATGTTTAGACATTTTAGAATAAGTCTAGTATGCTAAGCTAGATCTGTTTAGGTCTTTTATGGTTTAATGTCTAAAGGTCAGAAAAAATACATCAACTTCAGTTAAAATTAATAACTAGGATTATGATTCGAGGGATGGTATCTGCCATAATCTCAAGTAATTGTCATCAGACACCTGCACAAGATAGTGAGTGTTTGAGATAGCTGTATTTTATTTCAGATGCTGCTTTGCCATGTTTTTATTGTTATACATATTGGTATATATTTGTAATAAAAAATTGCGTTATAAAGATTAAATTCTTATATTTTTTTTATTTTATTCGCAAATTCTCTAATTTAGCCGTTCTTATATATCTTTTTTCGACAAAGTCTGACTATTAGTCAAAGGAGTTTTTGTGTGTTTGCTCTGCCAGCATCAAGAGCTATCTGTGTATTAAGTGCTTGATAAAATTTATTATATAAAAATATAAAAAAGTATTTGTGCACTGATTCAAAAATTGTGGTGTTATTAACAAAATGAAAATTATCCCCCCTATATAAATCTAAAAAAAAGTGTGGCTTCTTCTCAAACTGTAGTAATTGTAGGAATATTGAATAATATACCAAAGTAGAATAATTTTTTAATTTAATTTCAAATGTTTTTATTTGTATTTTATTTTTTTATGATTTTGAGCTTTGTATTTATAATACAAAAAAAAAGAAAATTTTGATTTAATAGCAACAAAATATACATAATAATAAGGCTACAGTTTTTGAAAAATTAGTAGAAAAATTATAAATTTAGAAAGTTTAATTTGTACTTATTTTTTTATATTATTAAAAAGTACAAGATTTTAAATGTCCAATTATTATACTAGATATTCCATTACAAAAAACCAAGTGCTTCTGGTACTTTATAAAAAGCGCAAACACAGGTATCTGTTGATGACTGAATATTTAAAAAATATTTTGAACATCACAAACTGTACAAAAAATTTTATTACATCCCTTGTATTTAAATTAAAAATAATGGGAAGAAACTTACAACTTTCAATTTCTATATGACAGAGCTGCCGATCCATGGGAAAATACTGAAGATTCATAGGACATGAGGCTGTGATTGTGAGTCTGGAAAAAATATAAATTTATTAATCAATCAGTTCCATATAATATATCAATAAATATTATTATCCATTCGCCTTTTATTTAATAATAATTTGGCCATGGCAAACCGATGAAGATTTGCGTATATAATTTTTTGACGTATTATTCCCATTCTAGTGGAACAAGCTTTAGAAGCGAACCCTTGTTGATTGCAACCAAATTTACAGGGGTGTTTACATTAACCGGTGTAAGGTTAGTAGCCAAAAACTGGTAGCCCGTTTACCGAGTACCCCCGAACAATACAGTGGCTCGTTGAAAAAGGCAATACGTATGTTTATTTCAGTTTTAGTTGAAAACTGAGGTTGTTTATATTTTAAAAGTTATCTTCCTTATATAAATTAATAAATAATAATAATAATAATAATAATAAATACATGAAAAATAATACATTCATAATAAAAATTCTTAATATTCATATTAATAAAAAAATATATATCAAGTATCAAGGATTAATACCAAGTATAAGTTTTATTACAAACAGTTACTGGCTAGAAGCAGAATCACTTAGCGCCCTCGTAAGGGGTAGCAACCACACCCCAATTTCGAAAACAAAAATATTTGTCCCAGTTAAAAATGAGATATCAAATTGGGATTAATACCAAGTATTCCTTCTAATGCAAGCAGTTGCTAGCCTAAAGCATATTCGCTTAGTACCCTCGGAAGAGGTAGCAATGACACCCCTATTTCAGAAAATCAATATTTGACGAAGTTAAAAATGAGATATCAAGTTGGGAACATATTAGCCTTATACACCTATGCCGCTAACCGAAAAAAAAAACTACTCAGGGGTGTTTTTTTCAATTTTAGGGGCGTTTTTTGCAATTTTAGGGGTGGTTCAACCATTGCTGCAAGTTTTAACCCTGATTTTCGTAATCAGCGCCCCAAAAAACATGACTTAGTTCGCGAAACACCGTGACTGGTCATTTTTTCAGAAAATTCACCCCTTGGCATGTGGGGGTGTCACACAAATTTTCCAGTCTCGACACCCCGATTTTCGAAATTAGCGTCCCAAAAAACATATGAGATGGCTTAGTTTGCAAAACAAGAAGTACAGTCGAAAAACACCCCTATTTAGGGGTTTATGCAATTTTAGGGGAGTTCCAACCATTGCTGCCAGTTTTAACCCTCATTTTCTCGACCTTTTACCGTTATTTTAAATGGACGACATCTGTCTTAGTTTTCATCAAATAATAAGAACCCATGAAGTTCTCTTTAGTTAAAAACTTTTACATTTATTTACCATTTATGTTCGAACATTTGAGAATTGTATTCGTCTTTCAAAATGTCCGTTTGTGAGTGTGCTCGTTCCATAAACGAATATATTTCGAGAATTGGTTCCCTGGTTCGTTCATAAAACGCGTGCTAATACAAACCATCCCTACTCAATTCAGCAGACATCTTGCTATTTCTAATGCTATATCCGATGTAACAACTCTGTCTATCTAGCTGAAGCTGAATATTTGGAAGTAATAATGGGATTAATTATGAATGAATGGATAAGTCTAGTAGTTTTTTATCGTTGATTTAAACTAAATTTTTCTGTTAATGGTCCAATAAAAAAAAACATAATCAAACCTATTAACAAAACAACATTTATACTAAGCCTATCATAGTAAGCTAGGTGTCCTGAAAATATGTGCTATCTTCAATAGAGAAATAAAAGTGTCAAGTAAGTTTTTCCCCTAAATTAACTATATTGATTCTGCATTCTGCCCACTACATTAAATGATGTCAACATGAGCACATTCACAACTAAATTAGATTCCATATTCCTAATAGTTTACCAACCGCATACCTCCTACAATACAACCATATTACATGAGAATTTCTGACGCTCTGGATAAGTCAAAAACCCTTCTAATTTAAGTGTATGCAATTGGGTTATCATTTATGAAGCGGTTATCAAGCAGACACTTAGTATGCATATCATCCGGCAGATGGACCCACAGAGACTATGTATTTCCCTTGGTATTCAATGGATTAATTAATATTCTGTTTATACTGTCGCACTAATATTATCTGAGATAGATTTCAGGCCTGTGCCAACTTGGTCCAACTAACCGGAAAACAATTTCACTTATCAGCAGAAATATTAACACGTATAATGGGAAATGGGTCTACTAAGACGGTCTTCATTTTCGAGAATGTTACGATATCGGATACATATGCCAGAAGAAAATTTCACACCTACGTTTATAAGTAATAAAATGTGTATTTTCTCTGGGGTCACTGTAATAATTGGCATTATTATTTGAAAATATAAAGAATTTACCAAAAATTCCAAAAAAGTATTTTAATGTTTTAAACTAAAAATTCAAAAGGAACACACGTATGGAAATAAATGAAACAATCAGGTTATTACTCCAGTCAATAGCTTATAATGAACTAGGTAGAATGTTGGCATTCTAACAGCTATCACGTAAATTTTGGGTTTATATAGAGAGACTGGACAGAAAGAAAATAATCTCGAGTAAGGGCTACGGTCCAAAACTCCAAAACTATATACAGGGTGGCCACTTTTTTAATGGGATTGTGTTAGTAATTTCCAAACCATACTAGTTAGAAAAACGGTTAAATTGAGAAATAGTTTCGTATCTCGAAGCATAATCTAGCGGTGGAAATTATTCGAAAATAGCAGGCCCGGTTCTTGAGATATTTCGATAAAAGTAAATTCGCTCTTTTCGGTTTTTTGGTTATCGTTCATTTATTTTCAGAGCTACTAAAAAATTATTTAAAGATTTTTATTTGATAGTAAATTTTCTTTGATTTGACGTTTTCATATTTTGCATCCAACGTTTCGTATTCTCCGGACCACCCTCTACTTATTTTTTTTTAAATATGGACCTAGACATTTTATAACAGTATTTGAAATAACTTTTCATCCTGCATCCAGCGGTGTATTACACAATGGCATTCAATGACGGTTTTTGGGTAATATGGACCGTAATCCAAATTTTATTGGTACGGATCTGTATTGAATTTATAATCAGTGTTAATTTTTTCAAAGTGTATAATACTTCGAACATAAAGTTATTAATTGGGAAAAAATAAATGAGAATCAATTATTCGACAATTAAAAAATATGTTTTGATGAGATAAATAATTAAAAAATATTCCCGGTTCCATTTTTGACCATACATACCTACCAAATTTTTATGTTACTGCTTTGAATAAACTTCGAGATGTAATTATTTATTTCAATTATTTTTCCATCTAATTATCATTATTGATTATTTTATTACTGGCACATCAATTGATATGATTTTAAACTAGTATCATCTTACTTGTTATAAAATGTAGTAGGCCGTGAAAACAATCCATATTACAGGAACTGTCACATTATTATTATTATTATTATTATTATTATTATTATTATTATTATGTTGTTCTTTATTTCGTTACGAAAATTTCTCATTGTTCAAAAGTTTTTTGTGTGTTTCTTGGTACCTAGTCTAATTTCAATATGGTAAGATATACTGCAGAAGAAGAACGAGATGTGTACAAATTGTACATTAAACTGGACATAAATTCGTTTAGAACAAAACAAAGGTACGAGGACTTATATCCCGGCAGAATGCAACCAAATATAAAAAAATTTCGGCGTTTGTCTACAACTCTTCTCGAACATAATACATTCGATAAACCTAAAGTTCCGTATGTTCGAAGAAAGGAGCCAGTCAACGATATTAATGTCTTTCAAATAAATCCAGGAGTTGGGTCGAGGACTATTGCAGGTGAATGTAATTTATCAAAAAGTACTGTTAATAAGATACTCAAGAGACACGGATACCATGATTAAAAATACCAAGCGGTACAAAAACTATATCGTAATTATCTTGAAAGAGGATTGTTATTTTGTAATTGGTTTAAACAGAAGGTAAGAATTAATAACAACTTTGCACACAATATAATTTGGGGAGAAGAAACAACATTTACAAATTTTAGTATGTTCAATCGAAGAAATAAACATTTTTATGCCACGGAAAATCCTCATCTAATCCAAGAAGTGAGACATCAATATCGTTTCTTTTTGAATATGTGGTGCCGTTAATTAATAAATTACTGGGACCGTACTTTATTGACGGAAACTTTAGTGCAGAAAAATATTTAGATATACTGCAGGACATGTAAGATGATCTTCCTATAGAGTATCGTCTTAACGAAATCTGGTTCCAACAAGATGGATGTGGTCCACACAATTCAAGAATGGTCACTGATTATTTGAATGAGACTTTTTCCAATTCATGGATTGGAACAAGAGGTCCAGTGGCGTGGCCTGCCAGATCTCCAGATCTGAATCCATTTGATTTTTATTTGTGAGGACGTATCAAAAATAAAATGTATAATACACCGAATGCAACAATTGAGATTCTCCGCGAAAAATTGAAGATGCATTGGAAGAAATATCCATGAAGAAGAAATAAGCAATAGCATAAGAAATATGAATATCCTAATCGCCAAGTGTATTGAAGAAGATGGCGGACATTTTAAATAATTTCTCAATTAATTTTATTGATATTTTCAGATAATTTGATTATGACTTACAAAATCTGAATTTCTTTTTGTTATTATCAGTAATTGCGTTTTAAAATTTCTACATTACTATTGTTGTTGTTGATAAAATGTTTAATTTTCATAAAATTACATAAATTTTGAAAGAATTGATTTTATTTTCCCAATTAATAACTTTATGTTCGAAGTATTATACACTTTGAAAAAATTAACACTGATTATAAATTCAATACAGATCCGTACCAATAAAATTTGGATTACGGTCCATATTACCCAAAAAACGTCATTGAATGCCATTGTGTAATACACCGCTGGATGCAGGATGAAAAGGTTTTTCAAATATTGTTATAAAATATCCAGGTTCATATTTAATAAAAAGAAGTTGAGGGTGGTCCGGAGAATACGAAACGTTGGATGTAAAATATGAAAACGTTAAATCAAAGAAAATTTAC